GAAAGCAAGCAGTAAGCAGTACACTAGTATTCCACTCCGAACACAGCCCATATCTGTTCATTGTGTCTATTTCAAATGAAATGATCAATAATCTGAATGAAAGGGTTGCCGGTGAATACAAGACCCAAAACCTCAACACATATCTCAAGAGAAAACACGTGGCCGGTCCTCTCTGGTTTAAGCCAGTCTTCTGCGTAAGCCACACAGACAGAATATTGATATGAGCCATTTTTCACCCAGCAGTCTGCCTGAGCTCTCTTCCCCATGGCCAAGGTTAATTAGCAGTCATTAAAGAAGAAATATACGCTTTCCTCCTCAGGCGGGAATGAAAAACGAAGGTGTGGATGACTCGTAGATGGCAGCGGAGTGAGAGGACAGTACAGTTAGCCTGTCGCCATGGTGACAGAGATGAGGAGGTGATGGTCACCAATGCGAGGATGTTTAATTGTTCTGAGATTCCTTCAGGTGCCTTTCAACACGCTTGATTAATGGTGCAATCCATCCTGACAATGAGGGCTTTTGAATATGAATGGCCACCCGACCCGTCCTCTACACTGAAAGTAAATAGAAGTATTAACTTTTAAACTCTTCTATGCGTTTGAAAAATGAGATTGCCCCATTTCAATTCCACTGCTCATTGTGTACTCCTATACTTGGTTTGGAAATGAATGGGAGGTTTTGTTCTTCAGATCAGATACTAACAGTCTAATACACGTCCTTGGGAAATGCATACAGTCTGTAACCTTATTAAAGCCGAACTGTTGCAATGTCGTTCTGAACTCAGATCACGTGGAGTCCCAAATGACCAACGGGAATCAATGTTTTCTAGACCCACAATTCTTCATTCCTGACATGAGGACTTATTCAGTCTCTGATAAGGACACTATCCTGTCAGACAGTACAGTACACTAACAGACATGACTGCTCGCCTGGTCTTGCATGCATGTCTTATACTTCTTAATGAAAGGGAATTTAAAGTCGACATGAACCATGCTGGCAACCCTTTTTACTTTTGTAATGTGATCTTGTCAACCAAATAACTGCAAAAAGCTTTTTTAAAATTGTGTCTACAATAGTGAAAAAAAATGAAAAATGTGTATCGTGATGCTTTAACTGAAAATGACTGGAAATGATTAAAAACATCGCAAAATGTTACCAATGAACTAACAATGATTTGAAGAACACCAATCTTAGAAAAATAAATTTCAGTAATGACCAGCTGAATGAAAACGAGTAAACTGAATTGTTTTGTTTAACGTACTTTACCCTTTCCTGTTTGGTGAGGCAATCATCTGATGATCATATATAAAATGTTTGAATATTTGGTTTCATTTTTGCAATTCTTGTCAATTAAATTGTCAACAGAAATTAGAAGGTATTTTAAAATTAAAAAAGGTAAAATTAATTAAAATTAATGAATACATTTGAAAAATATTTATTTTTATTTTATTTTTATTTATTGTTTTAACAAAGACCATGTCTAGCAAAAAAAAAAAGGTGTAAAATGTATGTAGTCCCATATGAAATATGGGAGAAAAACTGATATTGTGGCCAATAATTAAGAATTAATTCCCAAAACTTATAATTTTGTTGCCACGTTTTACTAATTTGTGCACAAGGAATTAATAAAAATTCTCAATTCATGGCTATGATATCTTGTTTTTTCTAACCTGCATGTCATGTGTGGGGCTCCAGAAAATAAATAAAATTAAATGTGACACATTTACATGTTAAAGTCAGGGTAGGTGATTTGGTTCAAAACCGTTTTTTTGTTATGCTGGCTGCAAGTCTCTTCACATCCCGGTAGCAATCACTAATTAAGTGGTCTAAATGTATTTATCTGTATTTCTATGGTCTGTGGAAGGCGTAGGACCATAAAATGTTCATCCAATCTTATTCCTCCGTCCAAGGGCTGTCCTACCTGCCTGTCAACATATGTATTAGCATACCTCCATGCACCCTGTTCACACAGACATGATACGTCATCAGCGCGTTCCATTACTCTATTGCAGACCGAGCGATAATGGAAGGCGTTATTATTGTAATATCATGTGCTTTGTACTGTACTGTTTTCTCATCAGTGAATGAGACGAGGTAATCTGACAACATTGCATTCAACTCTCCATCAACGCCGTCTCTCATCGTGTCGCTGGTTAGCCTATGCTCTGCCTGTGTGCGTTCAGATGTTTTTGGAGGAGGCGTGGCTTTGGAGAGTGATTATGCAGGGAGGGTGGGATATTATGCTTTCAAAGATAGCTTACTATTGCTATAGTCTCTCCGAAATCGCCTACCCTACCTTTAAAGATGATATTGAACCAGTAAGGGAAAAAAATATGGAATTATCAATCAAGAATTGAATCGATTTGCAAAACAGATTTTTAACTTTGTGATAACAGACCAATCAATCCCAATAAGACTAGGAAGGTGTAGCATGAAAGTAAATATAGGGTCAGTTTTGATTTCATGTCAACTTTAAGACTGAACCGTTTAAAGGGAAAGAAATCTAAAAGAAAAGCCTGTAGAAAAAAGGCACCCAACTCTATATCATAGCGGCACATAAAAGCGGTAAATAGCAAAACTTGTGACCAATATGCTAATGAATGTAATATGAGGACCAAAATAACCATCACTGTACAGTAATGTGCTCATTAGAGACAGCAAGCTGTTGATTTACTCGACACACAAGAGGTTAAATACGTTTTCTATCACTACTATAATATGGAGCTCTTCATCATCAATGGCTGATGTGTAGTTTGCTGTGATTGGGCCACAGGTCATGCGACACGGCCAGTGTGGTCCATCGTTTTTCCTGTGGATGTTTTCCTGAATGCCCTGAGAGCGAAAGTGCTAAGAATAAAGATCCCACCACACCAATTAAACCACATCAAATTTATCTAGACTGTCCGTGATTGGCTGCTGGAGGGAGGATAATGGCGTAAAGAAATCGAAACTCGAAATCGAAAGTGTGAAAATAAAGGAACCGAATACACAAGATAGCGACAAGTATGGAGATATATTGAAGTGTAATATCGTAATGTCAGCCCTGTCAGAGACCTGATCCTGGTTCGGAGCTGATAATGGCGGTGAGCTCGGAAACACGCTCTTGCTTCTTTTTCACAACGCACCTTCCTGGTTTATTTCAGGTTTATGCAGGGTGGCAGGTTTCGCCTTATCTCAGTGAGTCTACACAGGAGCCAAAGACACTCCTGGTGGCGCGGCGTCTCTGGTTTTCCAGCTCACGGCGGGGTTTGAGTCCTTCAGCTGAGGCAGCTGTGGATTGAAACTCAACAACTCGCTTCAAACGGCTCAAGCTTCCAGTTCTGGAACCATCTTGTCCATTCCGTCCTCAAGTTTGTGTCAGTGTGCCAAACAGACAAGCACCAAAGAGTTCATGTTGGTCAATGGGAATACTAAAAGGTCGTTTGATTGAGGATGAGAGGTGGGCTTCACAACTTTTGTGATTTGATGGCTTACTTGTTTTGTCTCAGAGCACTTTGGGGAAGACAAAACAAAATGAGAGTTAAAAGAACATAGACCTCATTTCCTCAAAGAACTATAACTATTGCTTGCAAGGCAGTAAAAGAACAGTGTGTGCTTAGGGCACTAAGTGGGCATCTTATTGTCAGTCGGCTGCACACAGGAATCAATAGACACACTATGTTCCAAAACCTAGTGAACTGCCTAGGCAGAAATTTAAGGCATCATAGGTACTGTATGCTACTGACACAAAGGCTGTTCCAAAAGGTGGGCAGGATAATTATATTAGCATCGCATGTATCCTTTGTGGACAAGAATACATTGCTGTGCATTGATGAGCAGTCCAATAAATCCAAGATGGCGAACAAAGTGGCAGAAATGTCAATTATAAGCATACTTATAATTACCTTAATACTGAGAAGTATAGCTACAGATTGTTTAAAATTAATAAAAATGAACTATGTAATCCAACCTTTTTTTTGTGATATGTTTATTAATGCTTATTAGAGTATTATGACATTATGCCAGGAAGACAAACCCATCTAAATTCACAGTTCATTGTGCTAATGTTAGGAACCAATGCAATGACCAATTGCAGTTAAGTATACAAACATAAATGACAACATTACTGCAAAGGTTGTTTTTCAAACTTTAATCCAAAACTTATTTAAAGAAATTGTAAAATATTATCATTTATATAATATATTGTAATATAATATAAAAATATGTAAAATATACATTTAAGATGAATTAGATTACATTTATACATACACTACCATTCATAAGTTTGGGGTCAGTAAGATTTTTTTAATATTTTTTTTTTTGACAGAAGTCTCTTATGCTCAACAAGGCTGCGTTTATTTGATCATATACTGTAAAATGGTTTATAGAAATATTATAACATCTGTTTTCTATGTGAATACATTATAAAATGAAATTTATTACTGTGACACAAAGCTGTATTTTCAGCATCATAACTCCAGTCTTCAGTGGCATATGATCCTTCAGAAATCATTATAATATGCAGATTTGCTGCTCAATAAACATTTCTGATTATTATCAATGATAAAAACAGTTTTGCTGCTTCATGTTTTTGTGAAAACCGTGATTTTTTTTTTCAGGGTTCTTTAATAACTGTCTGTCACATTTGATCAGAGTATTAATTTATATATAAAAAAAAAATCTTACTGACCCCAATTTTTTAAAATCTTATTATACTATATATATATATATATATATAGAGAGAGAAAGAGAGAGAGAGAAAGAGATTTTTTTAATTTGTTGTAATATTTTGAGTTTTCATTTTTGTTTTTTCAGTTTTCATTCAGTTTAAAAATGTTTGTACTCTGTTTTTGTTATTTCATTATTAAATGTTTAAAAATATATATGTGTCTATATAGTTTTTATTAATTTTTACGTTTATTTTAGTTTTAGGGAAATGTTACTTTGGCAACTATGTATGTGTATGTATGTATATATATATATATATGTATTAAAAAATGGGTATAAAGAGAAACAAAACAAACAAACAAAGATAGTACATATTAGACTGAATAGAGTCTGGGTGTTAAGCAGTCCAGGCTTTCAGAAGTTTAATATTTTGGTTTGGCAGTTTAGAACAAATCTGAACTACAATGAGGAATATCAATACAGTGCTGCCTTGCAAGTACTGTTATTAAATTAATTCATATGTCCCATGTTTGTAACCGTAACATCCTATCAATAGTCAGTTAAATAAATTGTATTAGAAAAGAAAACAATAAAACATGTTTAAAAACTACCAAACAACAAAAGATCAAACTTCATGTGATATTTTTGTATTTTCAATTCTGTCAAGCAAGCACACAAACAAGTGAACATACCTGTCCTGAGGCTAAAGCCTATTATTGCCGACGGGAAGGCGGAATTAGACCTTGCTGCGCAGTAGTCCCCCCGTAGGGTGCTCTGGGGTACTGCACTCTGACGAGTTCTTGGCTTTGTCCTTGTTATTGTTGGGCTCATTGTCTTTGATGATGTCATACTGGCGGCAGAACAGAGCTATCACACCTGTGCACAAACAGGCATGAGGAAGTGAGAGAGAACAATGATTCAGAGAGTTGAAGACTGGATGGCAGAGTCGCATTGATGGATGGAACCTTCTCGAAAAAATGTAATGATGGATTGCACCATGATTCTTCCCCAAATAATAACATGCCAATTATAGCTGGACTAGAACAGGATGATGAGCTGTGCAGCGGCCTTGAGTGTACGTTGTGCTAGTACTGTCCTGTTTGATGATTTATTCTCTAGACTTCTCAGAGATTTGATGTGGATTATAAAAAGATAAAGGACTTTAAGACCCAATTATAACATTAGAAACACTCTCGTCTTTTCTCTGATCTACAAGAAAAGAAGGGTTTATGACCACAGAGTCTACAGATCTTGAAAACTTTATATGTAAAACTTGATGACATTTTTATCAAATCCCTATGTACCATCATTTGCATAATGTACACACAAAGAGTTAGAAATGTCATAAAAGTTGCAGAATGTGAATGAATGAAATGAGATTTGAAATGTATTTTTCACTCAGAAATTGCTTGTAAGTTTCACAATGACACTGCAACAATTGCAAAGAAATGGCAAGTAGCACATTAAACGTGATTAAATTTTGAAGTCGAAACACTGAAATAGTATTTAATTTTTTTATTTACAACTATATACAGTATATCAAATATGTTCAAATATCAAATATATTCAAAAATGAATAAACTTTATTCTAAAATTTTAAAGCAGTTGCAAAAATTTTACAAGAAGTTTTCTGTTGTGGAAATGTTGTATTCTATAGTATGGTATGAAATGTTTTACTGTTTACTATTTGAAACAATACTATTTGTTAACAATATGCAAATAATTAAAATGTACTTTTTGTGTTGTGGAAATGTTACTTTTTATTTATAGCTTTTTTTAAATATTTGTAATTTATATATTTATTAAACTTTATAAATAAACTTTATTATAAAACTTTTTAAAAGCTATTAACGTTTTTTGCTTTAGAAATGTTGTATTCTATAGCATTGATTCTATGACCTTCATATTCTGTGATTCATTTTGATCTGTTGATCAAAGTGTGAACACAAGAAATCACACTCAATCTGACATTTTCAAATGCAGGTGTCTTTCAAATGTTGAAATGCATTTGTGTGAATGTAGCCAATGTGTCAACAGTAAGACGATTCTCACCGGGAAACTGCTTGGTCGCTGGTCACATTCTTACCTGCCCACATGACGAGAACCACCACGATGATAATGAGCTCTCCAGCCCTGAGCTGGGCGGCCTGGCCAACCTCCTCCATGGTCACTTCATCTGTGTGAATTCAGACAATCACAGTTCATTCGCATATTTTCAAAGCCAAAAACATGCACAGCTCTGCAGTTATCAAAGCTCAGGCATCGTGACAACATGCAAACCACAGTAGAATTATTCAAGGAATTAATTACAATGTCTAATTAATTCTTTAATTAGCCTCAAGAGAATATAAAGCCTAAAGCAAACATTCTTCTCTGGCTCAGATATGACCAAACCTTCATACTTCTTGTCAAAAATCACTGGCTGCTTCCAGCCAAACCAAAGTGGAAGCTCATCAGAAGCCATAGAGGATCACTTCAGGGTTGAGCTCTCCTCTCACTTGGACGAGACCTCAGGGGTCACTTTCTTGTCCGGAGATTGAATGCTTCCAGTAATTAAGGCCTTGTTAGTTCAAAGAAACTGTACGCTGCGCTCTGCTCCGTGTTCACTGATTAACCGCAGAGGGAAAAGCAAAGTTCTTCAACGAAGGAGCAAAAGCGCAGTGTTTCTCTTTGTGCGCCTCTTCATTCTCTGAAGAAAACGTCGATACCCTTCAGGTGAAACTGAAATGTTATTGGACGTCTGAGGCGTTCGAGTACAGGGGAAAAGTTGGAGCATTTTTCAGCTCACCATCGACATCAATACATGTCATGAGTCCAGTAAGAAAACCAACATGAAGCCATCCTGAAGCGATGGAGAGGGGAGGCCCGCAGAGAGAAAGATTAACTGTCTGTGTTTATTAGCCACTCTGCTATTTAGTGAAGTGTAATGGTGCTCGCTTGATTAATTAGAGTGTAACGTGAGCACTAATGCCTGATGATTAAACTGTTTTTTTTTTGTAAAGGCTACTGCTATCTAACTGACACGCATGTCAGCTAAGAGTTAGCCATCCGTAAACCACTCTCTGCTGCGCCCAAGCACATTTCTACCACTGATGCATCACAAATGACAATAGTGCAGAGTTCATTTTTATATGCAGTGTGTTCCAAAACTTGTGAAAATGCTTCTATTACATTGTGAAAAAATATGCATTATATTGTCAGAATAACTATTTGATTCTTTTTTTTTTAATTATAATTATTATTTTAAAATTGTGTTTAGTATGTTGCTGAAATAATGTAAGCAAGAACTTCTGACTTAGAAAGAGTTCAGAATATGAAATGTGTTATACTAATTTTACACTTTTTCTTTGTTTAAAATGGTTCAAAATAGTAAAATGTGGTTCAGGGTTCACATTAGATTTAGTTTTTTTGGGCTCACTGTATGTTATATTATAATGTTTAAAAGTATTTTAATATAATATTGTAATATTGTATTTTAGCTATGTAAACCTACGAAATGCTGTTTAGTAGTTGATCAATAGGCATTTTTGTTAAAAATAAATAAATACCAAAACTAATATCTAGAGAACAAGGCAACTATTTTGTTATACACTAGCATTCAAAAGTTTGGGTTTTTTAAAGAAATTAATACTTTTATTCATTTAGGATGCATTAAATTGATCAAAAGTGACAGTAAAGGTATCTATAATATTTTTAAAAATCCATTTCAAATTAAATGGTGTTCTTTTGAACTTTCTGTTTATCTTTTAAAAAAGAAGCATTACGGTATTATAAATATTATGCAGCACAACTGTTTTCAACATTAATGATAATAATCAGCATATTAAAATTAGTTTTGAGTTGTAGAGCATGTTTCAGCATCATTACTCTATGTGACACTGTAGAGTAATGATGCTGAAAATTCAGCTTTGACATCACAGTAATAAATTACATTTTACAATATTTTCGAATAGAAAACAGTTATTGTATATTGGAATAATATTTAGCAATAATACCGTTTTACTGTATTTTTGTATCAAATAAATGCAGCATTTGTGAGAAAAAGATACTTCTTTTAAAAACATTTACAGAATCTTACTGACCTCAAACTTTTGAAACAAAGTGCTGACAAATGATATGTGCACTACATTTATAATTTATTTTTCACATTTAATTTTTTTTTGTGAGTAACATTCCTTCAAACTAAATCATGGTTCACTGTTTTTCAAAAACATGGATGTGAGGGATGAAGAGGTATCATCATTTGACATTTCACTGATGTCTGAGGTTACACCTCAGTGAAAACTCCTGCCTGACTCTAACCTGCACAACTGAGGATTTGACACAAAATGTCATCAGTACGGTCCAGTGCCAAAGACTGATGCTCACCCATAAAAGGGCAAGCGTTTCAGGAACATAAGCCTCCCTAGCAGATGTTTGTCCAAGTAAGTAGGTCATCGAAATGGATTATACAACAGAAAAATTGACTGTATTGTGTGTTGCTCTAGATAAGACAAGCTTCTAGTAACCGAAAAATTAATGGGAAAATTCACAAAAGTGAACACTTCATGGCCTGAATTATGACACAACACCATTTTTAGAGCGGTTGTATAACCACCTCCCTGCTGTGTGATTTGACTGTTTCAAACAAATCTATTTGTTTAACTGTACAAATGTTGAACCATGAATGTCTTTTATCAGTATTGTATCTCTGCATATAATAAGCCCCAGAATCTCAATTTAACATGCCTGATTCATCTTCAAATCATAATTCTGTCATAATTTCCTCACTCACGTCGTTCTAAAAGTGTATGACTTTTTCTTGTAATATAAAGAGACATTTTGTTTTATAAAATAGGCCTACTAGGTATATGCACTTGCAATAAATGGATTTTGGGGATTTCAAGCTTCAGAAAGCACCATAAGAGTCATAAATGGAGCCCATATATTTGTAATCTATTAATCATTCAGACCAGTTTTGTGAGCTTGGTCCATCTATTCATTGAAAGATCTCACTTCATAGAATAATCTGTTTGTGAGTCAGACATAGCAACTTCGTCATTGAATATCACACACAGAACTACAGCTGAAGTCAAAAATTTCAGTCAATAATGCAATAAATTTCATCTCGGTACTCAGTGTCTGTACTCCTTATTCCAGCACTTCTCATGTTATTTCCCCCTTAGCGTGAATCGCTTTGTTTCATTCCCTATTTGTAAGTCACTTTAGATAAAAGCATCTGCTAAATGTGTAAATGTAAGCTTCAGTCTATTCAGAACACAAAGCTATCGTATGGCTTCAGAAGATTTGGAATATAGTACACAAGGCATATACACTCATTTTATGATACTGTTATGGAGCTTGACAGCCCCGGCCCTCATTCACTGTCATTAAACTGTAAACTGATATTCCCCAAAATTCCCTGCATGACTCTCCACGTTTGAAAGTATATGTTTCTTAATAGTTTTTGTTATCAGTTATGTACATTTGGGTTTTATGTTACATCTTCTGTTGTTTAATGAATGTTTATTGCATTATTTTTAGTGCTGTGTGTTACCATGCTGGTGTTTTGTGTTTGCGTGAATGTGTTTGTGTGAATGCACCTTCTATAAGAATATAATATTAGTATATATTTATATACTATAAGTATATACTCTGTGCACCTTCTATAAGTATATATATACAGTATATATATATATATAGATATATATATATATATTAGTATATACTTCAGTTTGTGGAAAAGCTACTTGCGATTAACTTTTTTTTGCGATTCTTCCTGTGGCTTTCTCTTTTGTCCAAAATTATTTTGTAAAAGCTACGAAATATTTTTTTTTTTACAGTGAAGATATAATGTCAAAATTACATTGTAAATATGCTAAATAAAGTTGCAATTGCAGGATATGAATTGCAGAGTTTCCAAAATGGTACTATTTCAAATAATTTCCAGAACTATTATGGCATTTTGTACTATTATGTCAAAAAAAAATCATGATTTTGGTAGTAGTTTGTTAGTGCTGGCTTACCTGGGCTTTTGGAGGCCAGTTTCTCTGACTCTTTGGGAGTGCGGAACAGAACAGGTTCACTTAGGGGGCTGGTGCCGCTCATGCTAATGGACTGCACATGGACAATGTATTCTGTGTCCTCCTCCAAGTCCCACAATGCACATGAACGAGTGGTGGTGTTCACTTCCTGGATGAATCGCAGCATACGAACATCCTTTTTCTATAAACATCAAAATTAATAAAAATTTGACCTCGAGAGTGCTAATAATCTAAGGAGACGTGGTTGATACCACAAGCATTAAAGTCAATGTGAAATCAATATTTATCCTATTTACTATTCTTATACATGTTCCTAGTCTAGTTGTGAACAATTCATCAGTGTATGTTAATCTAAAGAAAAAAAACAGTCATTGCAATACTTATAATAATCAGAAGGTAATATGCTAACTTTCCTATTTGGTTGACATTACCCTTCTTTTTCCACTTCTTTTTCTCTCCCTTCCAATATCCAATGATCCATTTTTATCCATTTATTTTTATATTTTATTTATTTATTTATTTTTGGAAGATAAAATGGGTAATTATCACCATTTAACAAATAAATTTGAAAGCTCTTATTTTAATCTTTAATTTTGCCAATACTGCAAATGATCAGATTTCTATTTTTGCTTGTTATTTAAATCTCTCATTTATTATTCAAATCAATTCCAGAACATAATCACTTTTATGTTCTATGTGTTTAATAACTTCAAATAAATATATTGCCAATGACAAATGTTACCCCCATGAAACCCGATATAACAAATATCTTATGAATCTTTAGATATTGTTTCTCTATCATTTCTCTCTCTGCTCTGTTTGTGCATGTATGTGCATGCATCAAAAAAAATGAGAGAAAAGAGAAATAGTTCATAATCACATGTAATAATACAGCTAATGTTCTACCCACTTCAAAGCAGGGTTATAAAAGTTAACAAAATCTAAAACTAAAACCATACAAATGACAAATGGCTTTTTTTGAAATAAAATAAAAAATAGCTGAAATAAATCTCATTTTCATTTTGCTGTTCATCACAGCACAGAGACAGCGCTCATTAAGATAATAAATTATATTCACTTTAATTCTGATTCTGGCAAAATATCAGTGCTGGTATTACTAGATCTTAGTGCTGTGTTTGACACTGTCGATCATAACATACTTCTAGAGAGACTGGAAAACTGGGTCAGGCTTTCTGGGATGGTTCTCAGGTGGTTCAGGTCATAATTAGAAGGGAGAGGTTATTATGTGATTATAAGAGAGCATAAGTCTAAGTGGACATCCATGACATGCGGAGTCCCACAAGGCTCAATTCTTGCACCGCTCTTGTTTAGCCTGTAAATGCTCCCACTAAGTCAAATAATGAGAAAGAACCAAATTGCTTATCACAGCTATGCTGATGATACCCAGATTTACCTAGCCTTATCTCCAAATGACTACAGCCCCATTGACTCCCTCTGCCAATGCATTGATGAAATTAACAGTTGGATGTGCCAGAACTTCCTTCAGTTAAACAAGGAAAAAACTGAAGTCATTGCATTTGGAAACAAAAGCCCTATTCGCACGGGATTAGTATTATCTGGGGACCTTGTGTGATTTTGAAATTACCCCCCCCCACATCTGAATTTCGTGTGGTGGTCTGTGAACGTTTGTTAATCTAATGAATAATTGATTTGTTAAATCAAATGAAAAATGGTGTGTCTGATTGGTCCAGACGCTACACTGATGATACCCAGATTTACCTAGCCTTATCTCCATATGACTACAGCCCCATTGACTCCCTCTGCCAATGCACTGATGAAATTAACAGTTGGATTTGGCAGAACTTTATTCAGTTAAACAAGGAGAACACTGAAGTCATTACATTTGGAAACAAAGACGAAGTTCTCAAGGTGAATGCATACCTTGACTCTAGGGGTCTAACAACTAAAAATCAAGTCAGGAATCTTGGTGTTTTATGTATAATCATTTTCTATTTTTAACTGTTTTAAATTCATTTTAAATCAATTTTAAATCATTTTAAATTCCTTGTTTAATTGTTGTGAATATTTTTTATGATTATTTTACTTCCTTTTATGTAAAGCACTTTGAATTACCATTGTGTATGAAAAGTGCTATATAAATAAACGTGCCTTGCCTTGCCTAGTATAACTTAATGTACTAAAAGGATTAAAACTAAAACTGAAATAAAAAATAATAAAAACGACACAAAATTACAAAAACAATAAATTTACTAAAACTTTAAAATTAAAATGGAAAATACAAAAGAATCAAATTTAAAATATCAATCTCAATTATGCTAAACATTGTTTCAAATTAATTTTCATGTTCAATAAATTGTAAAAACACCAGTTAAAAATAAACATTTTGGACTGACTTTCATGTAAGTATTTTTATGTAAGTATTCTCTCTACACAGTATCAGTATCAAAAGTATTAGTACTTCAAGATCCACGCATCCTTACCTCTTTCACTCAAATACATATTCTTATAAAAGTAAAATAAGTTTCACAGGCTATTTAATGTTGAATTTAATAATGTCCTGAAAAACGTCTGATTCACCAATGACCTGCATTTAAATTAGTCATTGCCAGATAAGTTTTACAGTGTGCACTAATAAACAGTGCTATCAGCACAATTCATTCTTAGTGAATTCCCATAGTTATGATAAGTGGCCTGAGAAATTCACAAGGAGATAAACAGTTAACAAACAAACACATTCATGCACACTGCAGAAACTCTGTCTCGCTCAGTTTGGTGACAAGCTGTAATGGCTTTGTACTCCAGCAGATGGTCACTGCAGTCCTTATTACGGAGGTCTCCACAGTGACTGCTTTCCTCAAATCTGCTTACACACACACACACAAACTAATGCATGCATGCATAAAACATTTACAGAAAGCTCAAGGCCACCTAAAACCTAAAATACATGTGCCCTTGAAGAGAAAGTAGACAAGAGTCTACATCGACACATAATCAACATGCTTAATGCTTACTTCCTCCATGATATTGTCTCATTAAACTTGAGTTATGAGGTGATTTTGCCGTGTTTTGCACATGTAAGGACTCGAAATTGACCATAAACTGGTTCAATACCTGCTGGGTGATGGCAAACCCAATGACTGGGTCTCCCTCCAGAATTTCCCATGTCACTATCGCTGAGTTCCCCTCCAGTGCTTTGATGGTCACATTGAGCGGAGCAGATAAACTGTCTGAGGATGACAAATATAACAGACAGAAAGGGATAAAAGGCACTGATGTGACATGCTACAAGACCTTTCACGCAGTCTCAATATTCATGATAAAAAAAATAAAACCATTAAAACTGCAGAAAATGTGCTTGCCTGTGTCTTGCATGCACTCTCTACATATCTTCAAAGTTCATTCTTGCTTATTTTTAATAATGAAACAAACAAAAAAAGATTTTTCATTGTTGAAATTATTCTTCTTTTGTAACTCTTCACTGTGTATGATAACAACTGAATTTCCTTAGTCTACTGCTGAAAACAACATATAAAAGCACTCAGAAAGATGTCACATTTTGTCACATTTTACCTGTTACTTTTAGCTTTACTGGAAGCAGAATGGACCAGTTAAAGTCATTTATTGCAACTGAATAACCATTTTATTCAACCATTTATCAGAAAAAGCAAGGAGTAAAATCACTGTCCAGTTGATAAACAGTATATATAAAAGATAAAAAATAATATGTATATAATGTATCTTTATATAATGTATAGAGAGAGAGAGATCAGAAATATTTGAAACAAGCTGGTTGGCCTCTGCTTATTCTGCAGCCAAATAGATTGCTTGCTCAGCATTTAAACAGTCTGGTTCCGTGTTCGCTGTAAGCTGGTCCTAACGTTGCATATCTTCCTCTGAAACCCTCCACCTCCACCAGCACCACCTGTCTAGATAGTTATGCAGCAGCAGAATATATTACATGCTCACTGAAGCGAGTCTATCGACAGCATCAAGTCCAAACTTTCTCTGCTGCAGCAGTGTGCGTAGTAGATCTAGTCCGCCGAGAACAAATACATAAACATTGTCATATCCATTACATTCTAAAATTGTTCTAAGAGTTGTCATGATTACAAAATTATAAGTTTTTTTTCTATATGCTTGAACACAATAGCCTACCATACACAAGCTAATTGCCTATATAAAGTAATAAAAAAATAATTCATAGTTATGCAGAATGTACACATATACTGAAGTGAAATTACAATTCTTATTTGATATTATCCTTACAACTTATTTCCAGTTCATATATTGGTAAAGTGTTTCTGCATGGTCACTCGAATTCACAAGGCTTAGGACACCCAAGCACAACTACATATTTATATCATCTATAGTATCTTCTTATTAAGATACTCTCATGCATGTTTTTAAATTATGAATTATACACAATTATTTTCACCCCAAATGGTTCATTCTGTCTTCTCTATTTTGACATTCTCTAACTCTTTTTCTAATGCCGAAATGAACAATGCGGTCTGGCTGATGGAAATGCCCTGATGCTTAGCTCCACGTTTGCTCTAGATCAATATTTCCACTGCTCTTGACTTTTATTTACTGTGTGGGAGCTCTCAGATTGTTATCTGAACCAGCCTCTTTGTCTTTGATGGTCATCAAACAAAGAAAATGGCCTGGCACAGCCTAGAGTACACAAAGCCAGTCGCCGTTTGGCCACTGGGCATTTTTTTCATGAATTAAATGGCTGCAGTCCTTATTACGGAGGTCTCCACAGAGACTGCTTTCCTCAAATCTGGTTACACACACACACACACAAGCTCAAGGCCACCTAAAATATCAACAGCATGTGCCCTTGAAGAGAAAGTAGACAAGAGTCTACATCGACACATAATCAACATGCTTACACAAGCATTCCTCCATGATATTGTCTCATTAAACTTGAGTTATGAGGTGATTTTGCCGTGTTTTGCACATGTAAGGACTCGAAATTGACCATAAACTGGTTCAATACCTGCTGGGTGATGGCAAACCCAATGACTGGGTCTCCCTCCAGAATTTCCCATGTCACTATCGCTGAGTTCCCCTCCAGTGCTTTGATGGTCACATTGAGCGGAGCAGATAAACTGTCTGAGGATGACAAATATAACAGACAGAAAGGGATAAAAGGCACTGATGTGACATGCTACAAGACCTTTCACGCAGTCTCAATATTCATGATAAAAAAAATAAAACCATTAAAACTGCAGAAAATGTGCTTGCCTGTGTCTTGCATGCACTCTCTACATATCTTCAAAGTTCATTCTTGCTTATTTTTAATAATGAAACAAACAAAAAAAGATTTTTCATTGTTGAAATTATTCTTCTTTTGTAACTCTTCACTGTGTATGATAACAACTGAATTTCCTTAGTCTACTGCTGAAAACAACATATAAAAGCACTCAGAAAGATGTCACATTTTGTCACATTTTACCTGTTACTTTTAGCTTTACTGGAAGCAGAATGGACCAGTTAAAGTCATTTATTGCAACTGAATAACCATTTTATTCAACCATTTATCAGAAAAAGCAAGGAGTAAAATCACTGTCCAGTTGATAAACAGTATATATAAAAGATAAAAAATAATATGTATATAATGTATCTTTATATAATGTATAGAGAGAGAGAGATCAGAAATATTTGAAACAAGCTGGTTGGCCTCTGCTTATTCTGCAGCCAAATAGATTGCTTGCTCAGCATTTAAACAGTCTGGTTCCGTGTTCGCTGTAAGCTGGTCCTAACGTTGCATATCTTCCTCTGAAACCCTCCACCTCCACCAGCACCACCTGTCTAGATAGTTATGCAGCAGCAGAATATATTACATGCTCACTGAAGCGAGTCTATCGACAGCATCAAGTCCAAACTTTCTCTGCTGCAGCAGTGTGCGTAGTAGATCTAGTCCGCCGAGAACAAATACATAAACATTGTCATATCCATTACATTCTAAAATTGTTCTAAGAGTTGTCATGATTACAAAATTATAAGTTTTTTTTCTATATGCTTGAACACAATAGCCTACCATACACAAGCTAATTGCCTATATAAGATGTCACATTTTGTCACATTTTACTTGTTACTTTTAGCTTTACTGGAAGCAGAATGGACCAGTTAAAGTCATTTATTACAACTGAATAACCATTTTATTCAACCATTTATCAGAAAAAGCAAGGAGTAAAATCACTGTCCAGTTGATAAACAGTATATATAAAAGATAAAAAATAATATGTATATAATGTATCTTTATATAATGTATAGAGAGAGAGAGATCAGAAATATTTGAAACAAGCTGGTTGGCCTCTGCTTATTCTGCAGCCAAATAGATTGCTTGCTCAGCATTTAAACAGTCTGGTTCCGTGTTCGCTGTAAGCTGGTCCTAACGTTGCATATCTTCCTCTGAAACCCTCCACCTCCACCAGCACCACCTGTCTAGATAGTTATGCAGCAGCAGAATATATTACATGCTCACTGAAGCGAGTCTATCGACAGCATCAAGTCCAAACTTTCTCTGCTGCAGCAGTGTGCGTAGTAGATCTAGTCCGCCGAGAACAAATACATAAACATTGTCATATCCATTACATTCTAAAATTGTTCTAAGAGTTGTCATGATTACAAAATTATAAGTTTTTTTTCTATATGCTTGAACACAATAGCCTACCATACACAAGCTAATTGCCTATATAAAGTAATAAAAAAATAATTCATAGTTATGCAGAATGTACACATATACTGAAGTGAAATTACAATTCTTATTTGATATTATCCTTACAACTTATTTCCAGTTCATATATTGGTAAAGTGTTTCTACATGGTCACTCGAATTCACAAGGCTTAGGACACCCAAGCACAACTACATATTTATATCATCTATAGTATCTTCTTATTAAGATACTCTCATGCATGTTTTTAAATTATGAATTATACACAATTATTTTCACCCCAAATGGTTCATTCTGTCTTCTCTATTTTGACATTCTCTAACTCTTTTTCTAATGCCGAAATGAACAATGCGGTCTGGCTGATGGAAATGCCCTGATGCTTAGCTCCACGTTTGCTCTAGATCAATATTTCCACTGCTCTTGACTTTTATTTACTGTGTGGGAGCTCTCAGATTGTTATCTGAACCAGCCTCTTTGTCTTTGATGGTCATCAAACAAAGAAAATGGCCTGGCACAGCCTAGAGTACACAAAGCCAGTCGCCGTTTGGCCACTGGGCATTTTTTTCATGAATTAAATGGAAATGTTTTGCAGCGAAGACATCAGAAGTTGTGTCATCCCTTGTCAGAATGATAATATGCCGTTACATAAATCAGTGCATGAAGATCTAATCATCAGTAATGTTTGTTGACTACAGAGTGAAATGGTTGTCTGCTTAACGTCATCCATCACAATGTAACAAATTCACACCCTGCAGATGGGAAATAATGTATTTAAAGGGGATGACAGACACAGAAAGCCAGTCATCCCTGAGGACACAATATGTCTCCCACTGGGCAGGATGTGTTTGGAACAGTCATACATTACACTTTAAATAGGGGAGTAATGTAACATGCATTCAGAAACATGCCTCAGTAGTTTTTTGATGCTTCGCATCCCAGAATTCCTGGTTCATGAAATCTTGCTGTGCAAAAGGTTAGTTTGCCCCAAAATGTAAATTCTGTCATCATTTACTCACCCTCATGTTGTTTTGAACCGCTTGAACCCCTTCTCCATATAGAACACAAAACGAGAGAAAAAAAGTGTTTTTCCGTACAATGAAAGCATACCATCACCAAAGCAAAATGAATGCACTGTGTGCTATATTTCACATCTTTGCCATGTTGTTATTGTAAACTAAAACTATTAAAAAGTGTTTTTGTTAATTGAAATAAAAGATAGCTGAAAACTTTAACTGAAAAAAAAGAAAAGAAAAAAGAAACGCTGTTTGGCAACAAATTGAAATTAGAAAAATGTGTTTAAGTACTAAAATTACTAAAACTAAAGTAGAACTGAAAACAAAATTAAATGAAAGCTAAATAGAAATTAAATTAATAAAAATGACAAAAGCATATAACAAAATTACTCAAATTTAAACAAATTTAAAATGAAAAACCAAATCAAATAAAAACATGAATAAATCCTATAATAGTACAGTATATAAATAATACCTTGTTTATTTGAAGCAGACAATAACTTTGTGTAAGGAACAAACCAAAATTGAAATAATTTACAATGACTGATTACAACACAGCAATGAATACGCTGAAGTGCGAATGAGATTTGAGAGCTATTTTGGAAAATACAATTTTCAGCAGATAACTTGATTTTCGGTGTCTTCCTCACATAAAACTATTGTTTGACTTCAGAAGACCCTTAAGATACTGCACAAGTCATATTTTTACTTTTATGTACTTTAATAGGGTCTTATGGCCAGCTCTTGGTGACTGTATGCTTTCATTGTATGGAAAAGAGCAGCATGAACATTCTGCTAAACTACTTCTTTTGGTTTCCATGGAAGAAAATCATAAGGATTTGGGACGGCATTAGGATCCATTTTACGGGGTGAACAATTCCTTTAAATATGAAATCTTTGTTTGAATTTTTCTTATTCTAGTTTAAAGCTACTATAATCAAGCCACTTGTACACATTTGTACAAACAGTTTGCCTTTTATTTGGATATTTTCTAAAAGAGTTCAACACCAGGGCTTCACCTAATGCTCACTGGCGATGCCTTTCAACTTAAATTACCCTCTTAAAAACGAGTAAGGTCAAGCTGCCTCAAACACATTTGTTACCACCACTGAAGAGTTGAGGTTTCAGACATGATGTTAACACATACAGTACATTAATGTAACCTTAGGATGGGCTGAAGACGTTCATTCAGTCTTTCTGGATCCCATCAGTTGGTAATGGCTCCACTCATGAGATTCATGTTCTATAGGTCCTTGGCTTGCAGCCAGACACCAAACCTAAAGTGTATTAGTCTGTCTGCAGAGACAAACGTGATTTGAATGTATGGACTCTCAGGGCATTCAATCTCACCATGAGCACTGCTTAGGAATACTGTCTCTTGGAAAAGTTCATGCGATTTGTTTTTCAAACTGTCAAACTGACTCACAGTCACATTTGCCAGTCACCCTTGTGGGAGGCATGAGCGTTCTGGTTCCTATGTGTCTGAGAGGTGTGCAGTCAGGTTGGCAGCGGCAGTCCGGTGATCCTCGTTACCTAGTCCTGCAGCCGTGATTTAGGGAGCCCAGGTTATGAGGTGAATCTTCTGGCTCGGCTTGACTGCGTCCGCGGTCCCTGGACATGGCCCTCGTAAATATGTAGCTTAGCACTGCGGTCCCACAGAAAGCCTTGGAGGGATATTTATTGGTGTAAATTTTGGTCAGGAGCTGAGGCTCTGTCACATTGTAAAGAGTAACCTGAAGCTCATTTGATGGGGAGAGGTTGTGCCATTTTGTTTCAGAGTAAATGCAATATTTTTTGAGTAGAGAAATATATTTAGTGTGTGTTTGTAAGAGGCTGATTTAACAACATTGCATTGCCAAAACATACTAAAAACAGGCAAATTATACATGTCCCATCATTAAAGGTGAAGTATGTAACTTCTCATAACATTTCTTCTTATTATAAATGTTAAAAACACTTAAGTTGCTTAATATTTTTGTGGATACTGTGATACATTTTTTTAGGCTAGAAAGTTGAATATAAAGTTTAAAACTACAGCATTTATTTAAAATTGAAATCTTTTGTAACAATGTAAACGTTTTTACTCTGACTCTGAATGCATATTTGCTGAAGAGATTTTAATTCAGAACGTTTCCCAAAAATCTGCCAAAATTCAGCTGATGTTGTTTATCTGTGTGTATGTGTTCAGATGTGACTTTGGGAACAACATTTCCAAAAGTGAACTACATCTGACAAACCTCAGTTTGAGGAAATTCAGAGATGTCTTTGGAGAATCAATCAAAATACTGTTTTTCAAATATAATTTACATTTGGGGTTAGAATTAGTCTGTTGTAATATAATTAGCTTTATAGAAAAACAATACGTCTACCGTTTGTCCTCATTTAGATTTAGTTGAGCAAATGTTTGTGTTAGTCAGGTTTTGTTGGGGACCAAAATGAATGTTAAAACCTGGATCTATCTACATTTTGGAGACCAGTCCATGAGGGGGAAAACAATCATTAATCATGTCTTAATGGAAATCTAAAAACACAGAAAGGTCTCTGTGAGAGTTAGGGAATAGAAAATCATTAGTTCAGCATAAAAAATAATAGAAGTCAAAGAAATATCCTCACCGTGAGAGGAAAAAATGTGAAAAAATGAGGGAAACTAGCAGCTTAGACCAATGTTCCATTATTTCCTTGACCTGCGAGATTATTTCTTACTGTAGAGTAATTTAGCAAAGCTCCCTTATGGGGAGGAAAAACTGAGCCTCTGATTAACACTTCAGTGATGTCAGAATGCAGTTTTTCCTGAAGTCTGTAAGTGGTTTCACAGCTCAAACTGACCTCTAGACTGAGAATATTACACCCTTGAGATTCAAATCCCAGTCTCTGATCCAGAGACCCATGGCCTGCCTTCAGCTCAGAGGAAGTGATGCAAACAGCTTCCCTCCAGCATCTAATAACATCTTAGCTTGGACCTGACCTGACAGTATTGTGTGTGAGAGTAATATCAGCCAGTGAGTATCCACCATCATAAAGTCTGTGTTTAATTAGGGCTTTTAATTCAACTCGCTAATTTTGTGTGAATAATTATAAAAAGTAAAATTAGTGACTAAAAATTAAGACATTTAATCAAACCCTATATGACCCCCACACACACACACACACACACACAAATCCTTAATAAGACATTCTCTTACTGTATGAATAATTCATGCAATTTGCATATGGCAGATTTTACAGAATTGCATTGCTCTTTTGAGAATATATATTCCAGTCAAATGTTTAGAATAAATGCTTAATGTATTTGAAAGAAGTCTGTTATGGTCACCAAGACTGCATTTATTTATATACAGTACAGTAAAAAGTAATACATTACTATTGGGAAAATGTAAAATAACGGTTTGCTAAAAAAAAAGGGAAAAAAAGAAATGAATACTTTTATTCAGTAAGGACGCTGTAGCCAAAAGTGACAGTTAAGAGGTTTATAATGTTGCCAAATATTTCTATTTCAAATCAATGCTGTTCATTTGAACTTTCTATTTATCAAAAATATTTTTTTTATTACTTTTTTAAACATTGATAATAATAAGACCCATTACTAATAATTGAGTACCAATCCGCATATTAAAATTATTTTTGAAGGCTCATGTGACACTGAAGACTGGAGTAATGATGTTGAAAATTCAGCTTTACCGGCACAGTAATAAATTACATTTCAACATATATTAAAATATAAAACAGTTATTTGAATTGTCACAATATTACTGTTTTTACTGTATTTTTGATGGAAGGAATACAGCCTGGTTGAGCATAAGAGATAAAGACATTAAAACGATCAATATATATTGGCCCTTTGTCTCGTTTATTAGTTTCATAATCTTTGATCATTCAGCAAATATCAGAGAGTGAAACTGTAAAATGCATTAACCACTGCACCACAGTTCCAAACGTCTGAGCAAATCAGGCTTCATGTGCCTCACCAAACTACATTTATACACATATGACATAAAATATATTGATGTCTCTTTTTGCATGTCTATTTAAGTATTGTCAGCCTTAATTTGGAAGATTTTATCAGTTAAATATTAACTTATGTGATTAATTCAACAATTTTATGCAATTAACAGTTTTACTGACTGGCATCCCTAATGCATCAAAAACAAAATCTCAGCCTGATAAACCGATAGATTTGCTCTAATATGCAATGCACAGGAGCGATTTGCCCCACTAAACAACATCAGACTCATAAAATATTCACAGTGTCCTCCCGTAGCTTTGATGAGATGCCTGACACTATCAGATGAAACAAACATGTGAGAGCTTGGAGCGAGGAACTCAGCGTTGCACACTCTGCCTTTCATCACAGGCGTCATAACAAAACACACCAGGCCTGTAATAAGACCAAACCCAGCATACCGCCTCTTAAAGTTGATCAGTTATTCTCTGACAAGTTTGTTTCACCTGCTTCCTCTGTTGCTTCTGTGTATTAGACAGGGTGTTCGAAACGGTGTTCTTTTCATAATGGTGAGGAAATCCTCTCTTCATTAATATTCCTCCGTCCTGCATCACTGCCAGAGCCTCACTGTAAAGACGTATGGGCAGAGGCTTTGTCGCCTCTCTAGACCACATAAAAGAGAAAAGCTGAGTGAAAAAGGTTCGGTGTGCTTTGTTTGGGTGTATTGTCAGCCGTGGATGTCTACTACAGTTAATCTGTACATAATGTAACACATTAACAGCCACTACACCGTAATCACGAAGCACACGCTGCGCTCTTATTTCCACAAACAGACGGGTGTTTACACTTCACAAATGTCTTGACAGATATATGGCATGGCCATATCATTTCACAGCAAACTTTATGATACACTTCTATTTTTACATTATTATAGCAGTATATCATTTTCAGATTGCCAAACAGGTGTTGCTGATGTGAAATAGTAGACCGTTTTAGCAGACTGCCCTCCTTCACCAAACAACTGTAATACAATGAAATCACAGGTGACTTCCTCTAGTAAGCCTTACATTTAAGTCCTGTAGGTTTCTCGATGGCTGTTATTACCGATGCACCAATATATAATATAATAGTGGTGCATATTTGGTGTTACAGATTCACATATACGCTGAAAAAAGGTAACATAAAAATCATAATATCTAAATTGAATTGCTTTATTCAAGACAAAAATATCAATATAAATACATTTATACCACCAACACTACATTAAATGGGTTAAATCAGGTAGAAATAGCCTAGCACTTTAAAATAACAATTGCAGGTTACCATTTCTGCATTGTAGCAAGCAGCACAACATTAGCAAATTACTGCCGATATATTTCACTTTTTTCTAAATAATTTTTTACGTGATGCACTCATTTTCATGCCACTACAAACAGAAATAAAACTTAAAGCACACATACAGTATGAGGACCAAACTGCTGAAAACTTGCTCATTATTATGAATATTCACATTTGTCATTGCGTTCATGCACCCTAATGCGTTGTAATGCTTTTGTTTCAGTGCTTTCTGTTAAAACTGGCACTGGTTTTAATTTAAAAAAGATGAATGTGCATTAACTGTGGTAGTCATTAGTTTGCCGTGCAAATTATTTGCACTGTATTTTCCATATCTAAGCTTTTTATATTGATAAATTGAGTTATAAAGCACTTTACAAAAGTAAATTATTATAGTAATTTCTTTCCAAGCTGTGTAATTAATTATCGGTATTTTAAAACAAGATAACAGAAAAGACTGAACAATCGGGGGAAAAAATGATATTGCCAACAACCTAACATTGTTATCTGCATATACATCTCTGTATCAATGAAACCAGGTAATATTTTTAGGTTTGCAAAAGAATAAAATAATAAAATGCCATTATTCTCGGGATATATCCAGGCCAGAGAAAAAGCATCGATTTTAAATGATATATTGCTTTGAAAGGTTTAATTAATGGAGAAAGACAAACGCAAACACGATTGAAGGAGATTGATTTGTGACGTTGACAATTAAAGTAATCATTATTCTGCTGTAGTTATTTAGCTGTTCTAGTTATCAGATCGGTTCCCATTTAACAAATGAATTCAGTACCCTACTATAAATGTGTCTGCGTCCAGACACATTAACCAAAATCCCAATGCCCTAAAATGCGATCTATTGTGCATTCAGACTGTCATTTCTGTTTGGCGACCAGGTTTGATGTGAACAGAATCAATTAGGATCACATGAATTGTTCACAGCATTTACATGCAATCTGAATGAACACCCACGAGCGTCTAGTGCTTCCCAATGGAGGGCTGAACAGGTAGTAGCGCATCATTTATTCATCTCATACCCGCAACCTGTCTGTTCTCTGCCAATGTGAACATATCAGAATGCATTGCACTATGCATATTATTTCTAGTTGCAATTCTGTTCATGCATGCAAAAATAGTGTAAAGGGTTTCATGTCTCTTTCTATATCGTGTGCAAAAGACCAATAATGGCCATATATAATAATGACATTCCTTACAAAATGAGTACAATCACGCAAACTTACCGGCATTAACCGAGGACACGGAAATATAAGCCCAAAACAACAATAACAGCGCAGCGCACGAGCCTTTAATTCCCCACATCCTTCAAGGAATTCTTTACATTCTGTTCGGAAGACGTTGAATCCCATTTACTCGCAAAATTTTTTAAACTTATAAGTCGGCTTCTATGTGTTTAACATTCGCGACTGGTTGCCGTCTTTATTCCTGCATCAGTCCAGAAGAGCACTGGATCTAAACTCCGTACTTGCCGCAGAAAGTCGACAGGAGAGGACTGCGTGAGCCCATTGGACGGCAAATGTCACTATTACCAATGGGACATAATGAGTGCTTCCTCCAGGGGGCGCTCGGTGGCTCACTAAGCCGAGTCCTCCATTTCAACGCACTCAAATTTAAGTTGGGTTTCAAGAGCATTTCTAAGCCAAAAAGCATAATAGATTAAATCTATTATTATAACTCTTCGTGTCTGGCGTATAAACTATAATTCAGTTACAGAAATCTTTGTATAAAGGCTAAATAAAAGACTGTTTTCTGTAATCACAAACGCCTGTGATTCGCCCGCACTATCAGCGTTGAGAAAAGTAACAGCCACCACGTGACCACACTGTCCAAGTTCCAGCAGTGGTCTGGACGAGAATCCACACCCGAATAAAGACACCAGGATCTTCATAAAATAAAAAGAACTGGAATTGAAGAATAAGAAAGGCGTGTACTTAGACCGTTAGGGGGTCTAAATAATAACTCTCAAACTGAGGTGTGACCCAAAAACCAAAGGTTGAGGGAGGCTTTAATAGTAGGCCTACTAAACAGTTTTGATGCATATGTTTCAACAGCCTATTCAAAATAATATTTCGCAAGCACAAAAGTTAGATTGCAGAGCGCCTAGCGCAAATACATGCTTAGATACAGTAACTTAAAAATTATAGTACACTGCTTGTGTGCTTTCTGTTAGAATCACATTTTGTAATATAACGTACTTTATTATAGATTTATGTTTAAAAAGTATTTAAGACTGAAAATCTGTGCTACACTGAAAAAAAATAGTAACCTTAAATGTAACGTCTTATGTTTAATAGTTTTATTCAAGCCAAAAATATCGCTAAATCGACTGCATGCTAATTTATACCAACAAAACTAAATTTTATGGGTTAAATTAAACAGGAATAGCTCTTTAAGGTAGCAGGTCACCACGTTTTACATTGGGTGCCAAATGGTAATCTGGGTTACGGCAAGACAAGACCCAACTGATTGCAAGATTTTCCACAGAAATTTCTTTAAATATAAACCCCCTCAGTCATTGTGCAAGTTGCACACTGATCGTAGACAGAGAGATAATGTTAAGCTCCACCTATTTCAGGACTCCCTTTGTCATGGTAATTGCCATTCTACCTGTGTATTACATTTCCATGGTGTAGCCACTACCTGGGACAGCGCAATGAGCTCTGCATGACAGCCTCAGCTTTAGTACGCATCGACGGCTTTCAGTGTACGACATGAGGTACACAACTACAAAGCAGCTCAAAATGCGATGACTAAAGCTAAACGGACGGTTCAGTGACTGCTGCTCTATAGTCATATCCGCTGCAGCCCATTCAGCCTCCGAATGAAATTCAGAGTGAAAGTGCTCGCAGTGTCTTCATCGCTCCCTCTCACCTGTTCCTGCCAGAATGCTTATTGAGGGAAACCACTCTTCCTACATTTGTGGGGGTCTTTCCAGCTCTCTCCTTTCACTCTCGTGCCAAGTGCTGAAAAAATACCCTCTGCATACCAAAAGGAATTGCCACAGGATGACACCACTTTAAATTCACACAATGCACTTTCCATTCACACCGTCTGACACATTTTCATTATTCTAATGCACCTACATTTGGCCTAATGTTGTCAGAATACAAATACAGTGTCTACATTTAGGATATGCTGACATTTACAGTTGCAATGCAGATTTTATTAAGTGTGACACTGGGCCTGTTTACACGTAGTCACTTCTTGACTTTCATATACTGATATAGTTCCATTTGGTGAGTAAAAATGACATATGTGGCCTAAACAACCAACTTCATTTACACAAGTCACGTCTTACATGCATCCCAAACCACCTTCAATGTGATGAATGCTTTCCATTTCAAATGCATCTTGGAGGGCATTTAATCTTGCTTTGTCGGGCAAGTCGGACTTGTAACCCAAAGGTCGCAGGTTTGAGTTTCAGGTCCGGCAGGAATTGTCGGTGGGATTCGATGTGAGACCTCAGAGAGATTAAAATTAAAACTGAAAATATAAAAATAAAAGCTAACTCAAAATATTAATATATACTATAATAGTATACAAATAACACTAAATTAACACCTTACTATCGATAAGTCAGCCCTCAGCGCCTCAGGTCTTACTTTCCAACTATCTGACCTTCCTCTAAAGAACAAGCCCAACGCATTCTGATGTTAACGTCTAGAGAGGAGGACATTTAGAGACAAATGCTACTGTCTGTGTGGGAACTTTTTGTCCATCTTTCTGTTATTCCTGCCCTTGAGACTGGTACAACTCGGGTACAATATGTGGGAAATTCTTCCATCTTTTTGGCAGATGCTGAGTTGTTTCTTTTTTCAGTGTAGGCCTACCGAATAAAATTCTGATGTTTAGCATTATCCTTTGTCTCTCTCTCTCTTTGAATATGTTTATGTGCTTTTATTTGCATGCATGCATTTTAATCAGAGTGGGATTTTGATCTAATGAGATTGTGCTATGGCTGGTTTGGACAGAAACTCATATTTACATGTAAAACATTTATCACTTATCACTTTTGTTTTGTGTGTCACACCGGTGTGGGCCAAATAAGGTTTTATTATTCAGTCTCCACTACTGGTTTGGGTCACTGTGGACCCCTGTGAAATTCAATATAGTTGGATGTGCTGTGCAAATTCATTTTTTAAGCAGTAACACTCTACAGTGTTTCTTCTGCCTACGGCTGCTGTCTAATGATTATTGAGTTCTAGATCAAGAGGAAATAGGTCTTAAATGAAAAAAAAAGAGATCAATCCATAATTAGCATTTTGATCAAACAGTTGTTAAAATCTCTTTTACAATGTTTTACTAAAAATGAATAAATTAGAAAAATCGAATAACACTTGAGGGAATGTGCAAGACTTGCTGAGTTGTGAGAGAAACATGCTTTTTAGTAATCGAATGTCGCCTCAGGCTAGATGTTCTTGTTACGGGAACTCTCAGTAAGAAGTGCAGGAGATGTTGGCTGTTTTCAGCGCCGTCTCATCCAGAACATACAGAGAATGTATGCTGAAAGTAGCCTTTGAGAGACTTTAAGTGAGACTGCCACATTTATGTAATGGCCATATGGCTGCTGGATGCTCAGTGGGATCCTCTGTTTCTCTTACTTAAAGGGAAAGTTCACCTAAAATTATTATTATTTTATGACCCTTGTGGTGTTCCAAACATGTACTTTTTTTCTTTTTGTGAAATACAAAAGGAGAATTATACTGGTTGTTCTTTGTCATGCAATTTAAAAGCATCATTCATGAGAACTACAGCATTTGAACTTCCAAAAGGACACAAAAGCACAATAAATGTATCATCAAAAATTATCCATGATTTGTGCACTATATTTCAAGACTTCTGAAGTCAAATGATAGTTTTACGTGAGGAATGAATACAAACCGGTTTTAAGAACTGAATCAACTTCAAAAGAATGACAATGCTTTTTTCATTCATCCAATTAAAAATATATAGGGTAATGATTCACATCTATATTTTTTAACTTGAGCCAATGAAAAATAAATAACTTGCCCTCCTACAATAAAGCTAAAGTAGGTGATAACAACTAAAATGAAGTAGGTATTTGTTTTTAGCATCTGGACTCCTAGTGTCACGAATCCGGTCCATGAACTTCCGTCTGCTAGCCATCAGAGGTCACCCTTTCCATTTTCATTGACTCTCGCACTACACACTGTTGCATATCATCCCGGACTACATATCCCATCATTCATTGCACTGATTGCGCACAGCACTGATTGCACACAGCTGTTTCACTAATTGCACACAGCACTGACTGCACACAGCTGTTTCATATCACTCACTCACTATTTAACACTCACTCTGATCCCTTCCCGGCGCCGAGTATTGTTTAGCACTTATCAGTTGATAGCTACACTACAGAGCCCTCGTTAGCCTCCTAGCCTAGCCTAGTCTTGCCTGTTTTCTCGGTTTCTGATCTTCGCCTGTTTTCCTGGATTTACCCCTTTAGTCTTGCCCCTTTTGACTCTGTTCGCCGTTCGTTGACCTTCGCTAGCCCTAGGTGCCTGTTTTCTCGGTTTCTGATCTTCGCCTGTTTTCCTGGATTTATCCCTTTAGTCTTGCCCCTTTTGACTCTGTTTGCCGTTCGTTGACCTTCGCTAGCCCTAGGATTATTCTTGTGTCTTGCCCGCCATATTCCTGTTTGCCCTTGTTCGACCCTGCCTGTGTTTCTGACCTCTCTGCTTAATAAAGCCTGCACATGGATCCGCATGTCTCACGTCTTGTCAGCCCCGTTACACCTAGACCTCACACACTGGTCTAGGTGGGCAAGAGAACAAATCACTGAACACGTTTACAAGATGCCATTTGCTTTATGTTGCAGACGGTCCTGCTGACTCACCAATGGGCCGCAGTGGTTCTGTTGACAAGATGAGAATCTCTGAGCATGTGCAATGATTGATAGGTGGAGGTGGCGCTTTTCTCTGCATGCAAATGAATAATTTTCTCCTCCATTTTTTTTCTCTGGCCTCATACATCTTTCTTTTGTTTCTTCTGGAGGTGCTTCAGATGATTCATGCACTTTAGAGAAACTCACACATTTTAGAGGATTTAACTGACTGCTCCAAAGAGCATCATAAATATTGAATGGTGGTCTGGTGGTCGCTATATTTCATAATTAAGCTTCATCCCCAGAGCAAATTTCGGTCATTGCAACATAATTCCAATGACATGGAACATGGGATTCTACATTGTTGGAATGTTTGTCCCTCTGCACTTCAAAGAATGTATTGATCCTGTCAGAATAACCGTCAACAACTCAACAAGTCACATGATTTTGGATATCATTCATGTTTATAGCTCAAACAGTGCGGGATGAGATATGTGCTAAAGCTGAATTAACTTAAGATTGCTCAAATGTTGCTAATTATATGCCTTGTGTTCATTTTATTGAATGTGCACTTGTAGTGTCAAATCTTAAACGTATAATTTGAAGTAATTGTACTTGCAGATAATATAAAATTAATGAAATAAAAGGCAATTTAAGTGTACTTGAGGAGAGTATGACTAAGTTTCTTAGCACACTTAAGTATAAAAAAGTGCACTTTGTATTAATGCCAAATTAAGTTCTACTTTAAAGTACTTTTTTAAATCATGTTTTAATAACCTGTTATTATTTTAAAAAGTAAACTTATTTTTATGTGTTGACTAACACATTTAAACCACATGTAAAGTACTTGATTATAATTTTAACTGTAGCGTGTTATTTGATATTACATTTAAAGTTACTATATTTTAAATTCACTAAATGCATTTTCATCATTATAATGTGCAATCACAAATGACATACAAGCTTCAATAGGAATGACATTAAAATATATTTTAGCTTACCATAAATGCTTGTCAGTACATTCACCACACAGTACACTTTAACCGTATTTCAAAGTCAATAGAAGTAATTATGAGATTACATATAAAGATGCACATGTGGGTCAAAACACTCGAACGTTCATTTGATATACAGGTTAACTATAATCCATTTTCATTTAATTGCAATTAACATGCATTTATACGTCCAAAAACATTACATTCAGATCAAATATATTATTTTAGAGTAGATTCATTTAACACACTAATGATGGAAATGTTGGGCATTACCTGGAATGATTTCCAGATATTAAAAGAGACTGGGAATATTTTGGACAAAGAAAAAAAAGTAGCTGGGGAGAAGAGTGAGAGAAATATGTGCCGTGAGTGAAAAGGCAGACGAATGAATGGATAGATCTTCATGAGACATAAGCGACCTGACATTCAGAAATAGAGAAAGAGGAAGAAAGAGAGTGAGTGGCTGCATCCCTACAGCCCAGTTCAAGTTCAACACTTCTGCAAAGCCACCGAAAGAATCTAAGGCCCTGTTTGCACCTGCTGTTAACATCTGTATCGGGTGATAAGTGGTCAGTCAATACACAATGCTGCTTACACCTGGTGATAATGTGTCTCTAATGAACCTCCTGTGAATATGTGTGATCGAATTTCAGAGGGTCTTAGATTAATCATTACATACATAACTTACTATGTCATTGTTTATACATGTTGATAAAGTATATAGTTATAACCAACAAATAAAATCCTTGTTTTAGTGCAGTGGTTATTTGACAGGCTAGTAGGCGGTCCTAAAATGCTTGCATTGCAATAGATAAACAGTATACTACAAATGCATTGTGGTCAGCTACCTCACAATGTGATTTTAGTGATCAGAATACAAAACATTTTGGATCTTGACATGTATTTTGTGCTGTCCATTGTTGAATCACTTGTAACAGATGTTACTACCAGACATAAACAGCGTCTAAAAAATAAATAAATAAATAAAAATCACATGTTTAACATCACACTCATACCCTCTACAACCTCTAAAGTTGGTTGCTGTCTGTCTTTCACTCTTTCTGCTCCTTTTTTTCTTCGCAGTGTCCTCCTTGCCTCTCCACTTCTAGGCGTTTCTGGCAGAGAGCTGTTCCTCTGGGTGATTGGTTGTGTAGAGCAAATTTACTTAAGTGATGTTGGAATGCAGAGTTAGCATGAAGCAAGGCAAGGCATCTTTATTTCTAAAGCACATTTAAAACAGCAGCTGCTGACCAAAGTAGCAGCAGAAGCAAAAGGAGAAACTGTTCTCCTGATAGGAGACTGAAGACTGAAGCAAATAGCTGGAAGAAGTTTGTAAATGGCCCTTCATTTTAAGTCAGTGCTTTCCTTCAGCCCTCAGAAAGTGCTTGCATAAGAAAACAGTGTTGAGGACACAATCGCCATTATTAGACGTCAATGAGAGCAACCCTGGCCCTGCTCCATCATCCCTGCACCTTAACCACACCAGATCTCCTAATTTACCTCCTTGATTGTAATCTCAAATATGCACAGACACACATACACAGTTCACGGTGAAGGACAACACTCATCAGTAAGCCCTCATGATAACACATGTACAAGCAAACACAAACGACACTGGGATATTCCTTTTAAAGGATAACTTACACACATCATTTACATTTTGCACACCTGTCTCTGTAAGTGGTTGCTAAACAGGATTATATTCAAGGTTCAGGTTCATTTTATTTACTTAAAAAATTATATTTATCAATACACAGATAGAGTTTTCACACAAGTTCCAAAGTTGGAAGTCAATCATCAGGTGATTTGAACCATCAAGTTTGATTTGAAAAAAAAAGAAAAGAAAATCACTAATTTTGTTGTGTTTTTGTCATTTTTTATTATTTTTAAAATATATCTACAGTATATAGTTATTAGTTTTACTTTATTTAGTTTTAGTTATTGTAGTACTTCATGCTTAAAATAAACTAAAATGAGAAATGTTGCCTTGGCAACTAGCTGAAATAATACATATATACATAATACAATAATACATATATATATATATATATATATATACAGTTAGTACTTCATAAACTAAAATGAGAAATGTTGCCTTGGCAACTAGCTGAAATAATACATATATACATAATATACATAATACTATATATATATATATATATATATACAGTATATATAACACATTATTTTATTTTATATATACAGATATGTC